ACTTCAGGATCTGCCTTCTAAAGAGCAGTCGGGGTTGATCTCTTCTAGGACTGACCGGTTTGAACGCCTTGCAGTCCAAGGGACTCGCAAGAGTCTTCTCCAGCACCATAGTTCAAAGGCCTCAATTCTTTGGCGCTCAGCCTTTCTTATGGTCCAACTTTCACAGCCATACATTGCAACGGGGAAAACCATGGCCTGGACTATACGCACTTTTGTTGGCAGGGTGATGTCTCTGCTTTTTAGTATGCTGTCTAGATTTGCCATAGCTTTCCTCCCCAGGAGCAAGCGTCTTTTAATTTCGTGGCTGCAGTCCCCATCTGAGGTGATCTTGGAGCCCAGAAAAATAAAATCTGTCACTACCTCCATTTCTTCCCATCTATTTGCCAGGAATTGAGAGGGCTGGATGCCATGATTTTGGTTTTCTTAATGTTGAGTTTCAAGCCAACTTTTGCACTCTCCTTCTTCACCCGCATCAAGAGGCTCTTTAGTTCCTCTTCACTTTCTGCCATTAGAATGGTATCATCTGCATATCTTAGGTTGTTGATGTTTCTCCCGGCAATCTTAATTCCAACTTTTGATTCATCTAGCCCTGCCTTTCTCATGATGTGCTCTGCATATAAGTTAAATAGGCAGGGCGACAGTATACAGCCTTGCCGGACTCCTTTTCCAATTTTGAACCAATCAGTGGTTCCGTGTCCAGTTCTCACTGTTGCTTCTTGACCCGCATATAGGTTTCTCAAGAGACAAATGATATGGTCTGGTACTCCCATCTCTTTAAGAACTTGCCACAATTTGTTGTGATCCACACAATCAAAGGCTTTTGCATAGTCAATGAAGCAGAAGTAGATGTTTTTCTGGAACTCCCTAGCTTTCTCCATGATCCAGCGTATGTTGTCAATTTGATCTCTAGTTCCTCTGCCTCTTCGAAATCCTGCCTGTACTTCTGGTAGTTCTCGATCCACATACTGCTGGAGTCTAGCTTGTAGGATTTTAAGCATAACTTTACTAGCATGTGAAATGAGTGCGATAGTTTGAACATTCTTTGGCATTGCCTTTCTTTGGAATTGGAATGTAAACTGACCTTTTCAATCCTGTGGCCACTGTTGAGTTTTCCAAATTTGCTGGCAAATTGAATGTAGCACTTTTACTGCATCATCTTTTAAGATTTTGAATAGCTCAGCTGGAATACTGTCACCTCCACTAGCTTTGTTGTTGCTCAGATTTTCTAAGGCCCATTTCACTTCACATTCTAGGATGTCTAGTTCGAGGTCAGTGACTATCTCATTGTGGTTATCTGGGACGTTAAGCTCATTCTTGTATAGTTCTTTTGTGTAGTTTTGCCATCTCTTCTTAATCTCTTCTGCCTCTGTTAGGTCCCTGCCATTTTGGTCCTTTATCATGCCCATCTTTGCATGAAACGTTCCCTTCATATCTCCAATTTTCTTGAAGAGATCTCTGGTCCTCCCTATTCTGGTGTTTTCTTCTATTTCTTTGCACTGTTCATTTAAGAAGGCATTCTTATCTCTTCTAGCTACTCTCTGGAATTCTGCATTCAGTTGGGTGTATCTTTCTCTTTTCTCCTTTGCCTTTCACTTCCCTTCTTTCCTCAGCTATTTGCAAAGCTTCCTCAGACAGCCATCTTGCTTTCTTGCATTTCTTTTTCTTTGGGATGGTTTTAGTTGCTACCTCTTGTACAATGTTGCGAACTTCCATCCATAGTTCTTCAGGCACTCTGTCTATCAGATCCAGTTCCTTAAATCTATTTGTCATCTCTACTGTATATTCATCAGGAATACGATTTAGTTCATACCTGAGTGGCCTAGTGCTTTTCCCTACTTTTTTCAATTTAAGCCTAAATTTTGCAACGAGAAGCTCATGATCTGAGCCACAGTTAGCTCCTGGTCTTGTTTTTACTGACTGTATAGATCTTCTCCATCTTTGGCTGCAGAGCACATAGTCAATCTGATTTCTATGTTGACCGTCTGGTGATGTCCATGTGTAGAGCCGTCTCTTGGGTTGTTGGAAAAGAGTGTTTGTTATGACCATCGTATTCTCTTGACAAAATTCTATTAGCCTGTGCCCTGCTTCGTTTTGTACTCCAAGGCCAAACTTGCCTGTTATTCCGGTTATCTTTTGGCTTCCTACTTTAGCATTCCAATCCCCCATGATGATAAGGACATCATTTTTTGATGTTAATTCTATAAGGTGCTGTAGGGCTTCATAGAACCGGTCAATTTCATCCTCTTCAGCACCAGTGGTTTGGGCATAGATTTGGACTACTGTGATATTGAATGGTTTGCCTTGGATTCGAATAGAGATCATTCTGTCATTTTGAGGATTGTATCCCAGTATTGCTTTTCCTATTCTTTTATTGACTATGAAGGCTACTCCATTTCTTCTGAGGGATTCTTTCCCACAGTAGTATACCTGATGGTCATCTGAATTAAATTCACCCATTCCTGTCCATTTTAGTTTGCTGATTCCTAAGATGTCGATGTTCAGTCTTGTCATCTCTTTTTTGACTATGTCTAGCTTGCCTTGATTCATGGATCTTACATTCCAGGTTCCTATGGAGAAAAAATCTTTACAGCATCGAACTTTCCTTTCACCACCAGATATATCCACAGCTGAGCGTCCTTTCGGCTTTGGCCCAGTCGCTTCATTCTTTCTGGCGCTACTAGTACTAGCTCTCTGCTCTTCCCCAGTAGCATATTGGACACCTTCCGACCTGAGGGGCTCATCTTCCAGCGTCATATCTTTTTGCCTTTTAGTACTGTCCATGGGGTTTTCATGCAAAGATACTGGAGTGGTTTGCCATTTCCTTCTCCAGTGGATCACATTTTGTCAGAACTCTCTGCTATAACCTGTCCGTCTTGGGTGGCCCTGCACAGCATAGCTTATAGCTTCATTGAGTTACGCAAGCCCCTTCGCCACGACAAGGCAGTAATCCATAAAGGGGTCATTCCACATAGAAAGCTGAAATTTCCACTCATTAAATTAAATGGGTATGCCAGTGGTAAATGACCCCAAAGATTAATAAAATGGCTTCTTGTAATTTAAAGCCACACATTAATAGTATTAACTTATTCTGAACAAAATCCTAGTCTTTTAGATACACTAAAAATTGAAGGTGTTTTTTTTTCAACTACAAAGGTAAACCTTGTAGGATAGGCAAGGCGGGTTGTATGACGTGTTTGGGTTCCAGCACTTTTTTTTTTTTTAACAAAAGAAGCACTGGATAGGGGTAAAAGCAATTCATCATACAGAAGTTTGATTAGGGTTGGAATATAATACTCTAATATAGGATAGCTATACTACAGGAGGGAATTGGAAAGCAATACTGGCCAGATTTTTTTTAAGGAAGTTACCTCAAAGGGGGAGATTAAGAAGAATTGGAGAATAAGAAACCTTACCCTCTGTGGACAATAGTAAACCACAGTGTTCTTCTGCAGTATGGCTATTGATTTTTATGGCTATAGATGGTGTTTAACATTAGAATCTCAGTGCCAGCTATTTTGGACCAATACTAGGAGTATGATGGTACTATTGAGCTTTTCAAAGATATTTGCTTAATCACTCTGAGAATAAAAGGTTAAATTAGAATAGTTTTTAAATTAGAATAGTTTTCTAATTTAATGGTAGTTGCTCAGATTTGAAGAAGCAAAACCAGAATCACAAATAGCTTGGATCTTGCCAAGTTTGTTTGGCAGTAGCCTCTCCCGTTTTTGCTTGCCTTCCTTTGGCTATTGTGATTTCATTATTGCGTCTTGATTATTCATAAGCTAAATCTGCTCTAGCAGAATTTTGTGGTCGAAGTAAAAAATGTAAATATTATAATAAAAATCGAGAAGGCTAACTTGGCCTTTGCCTCTTTTAGCGCCCTCCACTTTTTTCCTGTTAGGAATCTAATCAGGGCTTACTCTATATAAGAAGGCTACTGGAATCTTTTAACACCCAACGGCTTTTGGTAAAAGATGTGAAGGAAGACATCAGTTGGCTCCGATTAAGTTTGCTGAAGAGAGCCATTTTAACCATCTGCCGCTAGAGGGAGAATTTTCGGGTCTACTTTGGAGGATCGCGCCTCTACCAGGGCTGCTTCGAAAGAGATCCGAGGGTGCTGATGTCCTTTATTGCAAATTGGTTTGGTGACGTGGGTTTATAGAAATAATGCATTTTGTTCCTCTAGTATTGCCCCTTTCTGCCTCCATCGCTGAGGGAGATTAGCTGTGTTAGCTGAGGGCCGGGCGAGGCGAGGTTATTCAGCAATTGCGGGATGTGTCTTGAAAGGATGATGGCGTGGGCGCAGGATGCGTGCACTCAACGACCTACCATCAAAATGACGTCTATTTCCTCTTATTGAAAAGGTGGCAAAAATTTGAGGAACGTAAAGGCCCTCCATCCTCCCGCCCTCCACTCCCTTTTCCAATGTTATATGTACACTTGTATCTACATCCTAAAATAGATATAGCTGAACGTGGTATATCCTACCTCGGGCACTCAATGACCATTTCCTCTTCTCTTGTTCCAGTTAGGGCTCTATTTTGTCTTCCCACTCTTTCAGACACCCTTCCTCCACCTGTGCGTCGCTCCCCCACTTTTGCTGACTGAGGATAATAGGAATTACTGTAGTCCAGCACATCTGGAGGGCGCCGACTTAGGGAAAGAGCCTGGTCTTCAGAACCTGCAATTCTGGCAAAAATTCTGAAGCTCGTCTTATTTTGGAAAGGAATTAAGAATAAGCTAATAACACGCCCCGAACAGGAATCCATGGGCTTTGAGACCCAGGGAGCTCTCCTCCCGTCTCTTGCCTCGGCTGCTGTTGCTGTCCGAGACCCTCATTCCATTAGCAGGTGACTTTGCTATTTCGTCCCCTTCCTTCCCCCCCCCCCCCCCCCGGCGTCTCCTTCTCCCTTCCAGGACAAGGATCCTGCCTGGAGGAATGGGCAAGCTGCGTCGTCCCTCTCGCTGGCTTTCCCTGCTTTCCCCATCTATCCACCCCAGCCTTTGCAAAATCCGCGCGCTCCCTCTGCGGCTGCTTTCTGCTTTTCAGCCCAACTGAAACCTTCTGTGTCAATGGACGAAGCCACCCAAGGAGAGATTTAACGTTTTCGCCTGTGACCTCTATAGAAAAGGACCTGCAGCGCAGCGGTGTAGAGAAGTTGCCGCTAGCTTATTTTCGGTGCACGAATATTCCAAGCCAAACACCTGCATTGTGACTTCCTGTGCTCTCGCTTTCGATCCTTCCTCTTTTGGGGGGGGGGGAGGCGAGGGGGAAGTTAAGCGGAGGAGCTCGTCACTTCTCGCCTTCTCAAGAGCGAACACGCGTTGTCTCTCTGCCGCTTGCAGCGGATCAGAGGATGGACCTCCTTTTTCTGAAAAAAGTTGTGTTGCTACCTTCGCGTGGAAATTGAACCCATCAACTTGAATGTAGAAAAGCGCGAGGCAGCGCTCTCCTGCCTGGTGGTGGCCCCAAAGGAGCAGGGCTCAGCGGTCACCTCGTTGGGCGACGTTCCCTCTAGTCCACCACGGCCATTTCTCCTGTTTCCGGTAACTACAAACGCCAGAGCAAAGTCATGGGCAACCGTCACGGCTCCCTGCCTTTGAAGATTTTTTAAGCACGTGTAGGGAGCTTCTGGAATAACCCCCCCCCATCTTTTTCCCGCCTGTTTTTTATTTTATTTTATGGGGGTGATTTTTCTTGTACGAGACTCTTCCTCCCCTTGATCTCTTTTCTGCTTCAAGGGAAAATCGGGGGAATTTTCAACTTGTAGCCTTTTTTTTATATTTTATTTTGTAATCTTAAAATCTGAGAATGGGCAATGCAGCCAGCAGTATGGAAATGTCTCCAGCGAAGGAGATTAAAAGCCAACCGACTGCTTCTTCGCCTTTACCCCCCAAACAGCCTGCACCCCCCAAACTACCTATGCCCAATGCTGAGGAATTGGAAGAACGATTTGGACATGTTCTGGTAAGTCTCTCGGAAGCCTTCCTCAACCTTTACCACCTCCTCCCTGCTGCAAAGGCCAATCTTTAACTTCACCTTCCTTTCCTCTTCATCATTCTTGCTACCTTGTATTCGATTGGATGGGGGGTCTGTAACATCAAAGAGATATCAAGGGCAAGATAACCTAACAAGGGGAAGAGGTATTATGTGCAGAACAGGGAGGTTGTTGATGTAGAGTCTTTGAAGTGACCATGACTGGTAATGAGATAATGTTTGAGACTTCTGTTGGTGGATTATGTTATCAGTAGTACTTCTTGTGCCACATTTCTCCCTGATTAAAATGATATGAAATGCAATTCTTGTGCTGAAAATCTGTAATGGGCATAAAATAGTCAAACGAACAGGAACAGTATTCACAGACCCATATTCTTAGCTAAGTTAGAGAGAGGGTGTGACTATGGAAGGAGGAAAGAGAGTGGGAACAATTCCCAGTTCGTTTATCTGGAGAGGTATGTGCTCTTGTCTTGCCTCCAGTTCCAAGTAGAGGTTACATCTTTCTTAGTGTTCTCAGAAATCTGTTGTAGACCACAGATCAACTTCATGAAAAGTTAGCTTTCTCCTTTTCCTGTTTTCTTATTTGATGTTAGTAACAACAGCCAATTCCTCACTGCCCTTTTCTAATCTAGAGTGCCTAAATGAAATAGGGCTACATCACCGATTGCCAACCAACTCTGGGAATAATGGGAATAATATTCCCCCTGAAGGGGGTTACCCTGTCCAAATTGTACAGAGCAGTGCTTTATCACTGATGTCACAGATTACAGCTATGTTCCTAAAGCATTCTTCTTGATTCCTCTGGATGTCTTGGGAGATCATCATACCGGCTGAGATTTCAAGGAAATTGTAATCCCAACACAATGTGGAAAAAACTGGATTGAGACAGTCTGGATTTGGTGTTTTCAGGATCATCTTGGATTTTGTCTCTAGGGAGACAGCATTCTGAGCACTTAAGTTTAGATGTGACATAATCCTGGCAAGCCATTTTAAAGACTCAGAAAATAAACCTCTTTGAGAACCATGGAACTTTGTACTCCATAGCTTCATTTAAAAAAAAATCAAATACTAATATACTCTTATCCTATTAGTTTACTCCAAAGCTTTACAATAATCCAAGTGCCTGCAGCAAAAAAAAATGTTGGTTTATTTTAAGTATCCTGAAATAAATGTTCAGCTCTCTAGTGTGGAAGATGGTAGCAGAACTATATATGATGTACAGTTCTCTATTTGAAGCTGGAGTTGTGCCTCCAGATAGTTCCTGTTCTTTTGTGTGTGGCATTTTGTGTAAATTCATAGTTGTGAGTATTACCTTTTTGGGACCAGCTAGAAATAATTCTTATAGAACCATAAATAAAAATGTCAATATTCATTTTTATATTCATAATTAGCAAAATCTTCCTATAAAACCAAGAGTATGAGTGTAAAATGAAGAAGGCATCACTAGTTCTGGGTTTGGGTATAATCGTATATATTACTCTGCAACAATTAGGAATGCAACTTTCAACCTGTTTTCTATACATAGTGAGGATTTGTACAAATCTTCTGATTTTAAAAAACTATTATCCAGGCTCTGAGAATGATCCAGCTTGTGGCTGAAATTGCTGCATAGCTTGATCTACCATGTTCATGTTTCTGGAATATGTTCCTTTAAAAACTGGACTTTGATTGAGCAAGGAAGCTTTAAAATTTGCAGTTCAGAGATTCTCAACTTCTAGGCAAATAGGCAGAGAGGAAAGGATTGGTTGTAAATTATCCTTTTCTGAATGTTTCTGAATGTTGCAAAACTGATCATCAGAAGGTTGAAGAGGAAAAGAATAACACTTTTTTTCTGTAAAATAAATTGGTTGTTGAGCCACTCAGCAAGTTAGCACAATTTGTGTAATTATGATACAATTGTTCAGAAACAATCAGGTGTAGTGGATAGTTAAATTAAACTTTTCTGACCTAAGGTCACTCCATCTTTCTCAAAATAAAAAAATTGAGATAATCAGCAGTCATAAGCCAAATCTGTTAATGGTGATATTTCTGCTGTGCTCGTCACTGCTCCATTACAGCATTTTACACACAGAATAAAAAGTTTTCAGCCTCCCCCTTTTTTTTGCGTGAATGCCACAGCACTGCCACTGACAGCATAGAAGAAAAACAGACTGGGACCATAGCTCTGTAGCTATGCTGATCCTTATATATGGTCTAACAATTCACATTTTTTTAGATGCCATGAAATAAAAGCAAAGCACTTTGCCCTTTACACCCTTCAGAAGCATTTTTTTTTCTGGGCAATAGTCTGTGTGATGAGTATGGAGTAACTTAATTTGCAGTCCTGCTTGCAATAGAGCAGCCTTCTGAATACAATATCCTGAAAATATGTTAGGATTACATCTTCCAGAATTTTCAGCCAACATGCTGATACAATTTCTGAGAGTTACAGTCCAATACTTCTGAAAGGCAAAAGGATAGAAATGATAAATTAGAGAATAGTATCCATATTTAAAACACAGGGGAAATGACTTTTAGCTACATAGGAACTTAACAATGTGATGTAATTTCTCCAGATACAGATATATCCAAGCAATGATAATCAAGTATCCTGGTTAATAATAATTATTCTGTTTTCACTGAAAAAGAATGCAGAGTGCTACATTTTGTTTAAAAGCCTGGAATTCAGAAAAGAATAGTTAAATGCGGCCTTTTTAGGGTACTTCCACCAACAAAATAAATCTCCACCCATAAGATATTAGGGAAGAACAACAGGTATGACATCTGTATAGCACTAAATAATTGAGTGATAATTACAGCACTGGGATAATAAGATAAACCTGATTACAAACCCGAGTCCTACCATTTAGAAAGCCCTCTCAGTTCTTCTGTTCTGATCATGTCAGAATAATGCAAAAAAGCACAGTAGGAAACCAAGTGATAGAAAAACTTTAGGGAACTTAGATATGTTTGGAACAAAGGAGACTGTATTTTTATGCTATCTGAATGGATGGTGTATGCAAACCAAACTAACACTGGATCAGGCAATGGCCCATTTACCAAAGTGGCCAATTAGATAGGAATCACCCAAGAATGAGAGCGATTACCTTTTCTTCTAGAAGTTATTATTTAAAGATTCCCTACTTATGTTCTTAGAAAAACCATATAGCTGTTCCCAGAATTTTAACACTGGCTAAAAGCTCTGGGGTTTGAATCTGATGCCCATGTTTCTTTTTTCTTTTATCTATGGAGAGTTAACAGTGATTGGAGGGACATGTAGAGGGGCTGAAGAACAATTGCCTGGGGCTTTCAATCCTAGTATATTACCCTCAATTAGTTTATAGCCTTGGTACCTGTCTAGTTTGCTGTTAAGGACATCCAAGCTGGTAGCCATTATTATATGTTAATTAAAGGAATTCCAAGTCAACATATGTGTTTTGTGGTGAAATGCTAGTTTTGTTTGACCTGCCATTCAAGTTCATTAAATGTTCCAATTCTAGTATTAAGAGAGAGGAGGGGCGGATTCCATTTTCTTTATTCAATGTATAATTTTATGTACATTTATCATCTTTCCTGCTATTTACCCTCAAGGATCCATCATCTTCCAGCCAGGGTCATGGGATGCCTCCAGAAATTGAGAAAACAGAATTGTATCCAATTGTATCCAGATACTTTAGTGCATCAAGAAAAAAAAAATCCCAAGTTTTGGGAGAATTGAAGTGTCCCCATTTCTCCTTGGTGTGTTTTCCTTATCTTATTTTATGGAATTGCAATTAGGGTTCTAAAGTTTTTTGGGTCTGATTCCAGAAAGATACTTTGGAGTGTGCAGAAGTGTGAATTGTAGCATTGGTCTCAAATTCGTAAAAATAGCTATAACTTTTCTCAAAATATTGGATTACCTTCTAAAACTGCCATGCAATCATTGGCAGACAAGTGCTACTATAGATAGTCCTTGACTTATGACCACAATTGAGTCCAAAATTTATGTTGCTAAGTGAGACAGTTGTTAAGTGAATCACCACAGTTGTTAAGTTAGCAACATGGTTGTTAAATTAATTTGGCATCCCCATTGACTTTGCTTTTCAGGAGGACACAAAAGGTGATCACATGGCCCTGGGAACTGTAACCATCAGAAATCTGAGTCAGTTGCCAAGTCTGAATTTTGATCACATGGCCATGGGGATGCTGCAATGGTCGTAAGTGAAAAACAGTCAGAAGTCACTTTTTTCAGTGCCATTGTAACTTTGAATGGTCACTAAATGAACTGTTGTAAATCAAGAACTACCTGTATTGCACTCACACATGCAGTGAAATACCATTTTGAAATTGAATCTAAAGAATTGCCAAGCATTAATAACATCAATGTATTTAATAATAAAAAGTTGATTATTTTCTTTGTCACATTTTCTTTCCTCTTTGTAATTGTATTTGCACCAAGGGAAGATTTATGGAGATAAGAAGACTCTTGAACCTATTTCCTAGAATGAATAGATACTCTATTAACACTGTGTACCTTTTCCTCTGAAACTCAAATAACAGATTCCCCCTATTGTAATCTGCTGGATAATAATATGACCTAACAGGATTGTTATAACATTCCAGCTTGATAATGCAAGTGAGGTGAACACTTGGAAATACTATGCCAGTGATGGTGAATCTTTTAGAGACCGAGTGCCCAAAAACTGCCCCTGCCCCTGCTCCACCCTTGTCCCACCCCTGCCCCACTCCCTGCCCCGACCCCACTCCGCCCACCCCACCTGCCCGCAGGGCCACTCACTGCCTCCAGAGTCCACCGCAGATCGCCCAGGCAGCCCAGCAGCACCATGGTGGCCACGCCCTCTGCCCATGCCCTGCAGCATCAACTGCGCATTGGGCCATGAGGGCAGAGTCTTGTCTATGCTGCCTGGCTGCCATGTCCTTGGCTGCGCTGCTCCTCATGGGCCACGCTCAGGAAGGACCCTCCTCCAGGGAGGCTGCTGGTGAGGAGAGGT